TCCTGCTGCAGGTCTGTTAGCTCCCCACAGCCACATTTCATTTCACCGCTCACTGTAGGGCTGCCGGTGCCATTCAGGAGAGGCAGAAGTGAATCTTCAGAAGTGACCAGAGATTGTTTATTTTCTAGCTCTGACTTCAGAGTCCTTGAGGATGCTGAAATGCTCTTGCCAGGATCTGGGTTTGTAGGTGAATTACGGGACAGGGGTGTTTTCTTCCCCAGGAGTTTAGGGGACAGCTGTGGAGAAACAGAAGCCCTTTTCTGATCAGCCCCGCTGACTTTGGTAGGATTAATGCCAGAAGAATCTGAATTTACCTTTGCTTTGCTTTTGATGGTGAACCCTTTTAGCTTTGGCCCTGCTTTGGCCTTCTGGTTATTTAAAAAGGTGTCCATTATATTTTTTTGTGCCATTCCCTTAGACTCCTGACAGGATTTTTTCTGCAAGGATGGGCTGTGCGGTACTGCAGCTCCTTTGCAGTGATTTGTGCCTGAGCTTTGGACTTTGCCGTTTGAAGTCCTTCCTGACGTCACACAGTTGATTTTCTCATTTTTCCCTGGCAAGTCATGAGTTGTATTAGCCTTTGGATCTTTAGATCTAGTGGGAAAGGGAGACCTGAGTGATATTGCTCTTGATGATGATGCATTCACATGATTGCTGTCTGTTTTAGACAAGTTGGACAAACTGTTGGTTTCTTTCTTCACTAAGCAGTAACTAACAGCGTGATTACAGTCATCAACCACAGTTTCACTTTCAGATTTGGATCTCTGCTCATCATGACATCCTTCTTTTTCAAGCGAGTTATTCTCCAAGCCATTGACACTTCTAGCAGAGCAAAAGCTTATCTTTTTGCAGTGCAGAGACCCTTCCTCTTCAATGGATTCACAGCATTTTGTATGTCCGTTACTGTTTCCCAAACCCTTCTGTTCTTCTGTACTTAAGGCACCATTGTTACAGAAAGAGTAAACTTCAGGGACACTGACTGAATTCTTTACGATGTCTTTTTCTGGCAGGAAAACCAAGGAAGAAGAACACAAGGATGCAGAGGACACATCTGAACACTGTGAGGGACATGGAGTGGGACCACCGTGATCTTCCAAGCCTAGTTTGTTGATGCTTGTCTCCAGTGACCCACACATTGCACAGCCCTCAGTAGTTTGCACAACTTTTCTGGCGTAAGGGCACAGTGGGGAGAGAGAGCTTGTTGCAGATGTGAGATGCTGTTCCTGTGCAGGCTTTTGCAGCTCGTCGTTCATGCAACAAATCTCAATTTGCTCCTCATCCGACTCTGTTACAGTACAGACTGCGGGGGCGTTAGCAGCAACGCATGGCCCAAGCAATGCCTCATTAGCATTATCAAAGGTTTCCGTGACAGACTCTGTGTCTGAGTGAGAATCCTCTGCAGCCCCATACATAGACTTTGGAAACGGGTCGCTTCTCTTACCTTCCAGAGAGTTTGCTGTAGGCAACTCATCCTCATTTAAACTGCTAAAATTCCTAGAATAGTTATTTAAAGAGTTTTTATTCACAGTAAAAAGTTTGCCTGTGTTAATGGAGTCCAACACAGACAGCCCCAAAACCCCTTGTGCATTAGCTCCACAATTCTTATTTTTTTCAGGCAGCTCCTCCTTGGCTGGTCGTGGATCAGATGCGGGACAGCCTTCGTCGGTCCCACAGCAGCACATCGTGGTGTACTCATCTCGGAGGGGGCTTTCCACTCGCGACGGGATGCGCGAAGCCCTGCTCTCAGGAGCGCCCATTTGGCTGAGCAAGTCATCGATATCCGTGACGGGCACGGCAGCGCTGTCCTCGGCACGGCTGCTTTTCGTGGCACCTCTCTGCACGCCTTTGCTCGTGGCATCAGGTGGCAGTGTTGTTCTCTCCACCGCACAGCTGCCACCAGCGTTTTGCAAACCTGCTCCTTCTCGCTTCCCGGCGCTGGGTTCCTCCTCACTTGCGAGGATGCTGTTGATGTTGGCCTGATTTTGACTCTCTACCCCTGGTGACAGGATGAGGTTTGTAAATCTGCTGACAGCTGCATCATGATAAAATAAATAAAAAAGAGAAGCAAAATCCTGTCAGATATGGGAAGTGATACGCAAAACACCAGGTTTTATTACACAAATAGACACCCACATAGTCAGACTACATGTTTTCCTTTTGCTCTGCACTCCTCCTCTTCTGTAATGATGTTTACCACAACTTGAATTAATCATAACCCTGTGTGTTTGAGTAGCACACAGGAGGGAGCAATCCACTCATCCAGGGAGAGTAGTCATGATCTGTTTAATTCTCCGATTTGAAATTTCAGCCGTCAAGCAGCCAACTACCAAAGTGTCAGTGTGCAGTAAGCAGGCTGAGCAGTACTGCTTCTCATTACTAGTTTGATCGAAGATGTCTCCAACAGATCGCAGAGAGTACACAAAGCCCTGGCATAGCAAACAAAGGTGAACAGGTAACAGTGACAAGGTGTGCATAAATAACTCTGATCCTCTCGGCACTTCTGCAGGTGTTTAATGCGACACGCATGGGTGATGTTATACACGCATTAAGCATATGGGCTTTACAGGATTCCTGGCACAGACCTTTCCTTGTTTCCAATACATGTTTAACCCACTCTTCAGCAACACACTGAGCTCCCTGTCACTGCTGCACTCCAACACCCATTTCTCCAGCTCTTCCATCTTCAGCACTTCGCCCTGCTTGCATCTGCTTGCACCTTTCTACACTGCTTCTGGGACACGCATCCCCACTCAAGCTGCTTTTGAGAGGCCAGTTACTACCAGATGAGTCCCAGAAAGCGCTCAGAGAAGGAGGGGTGTATTCAGAGAGCCAGCATCCTTTCCTGCTCATTCAAACGTGCCAGCGCATCCCTCTAATCCTTGCACAAACCTGCACAATTATCCACACCACTTAACTTAGGTACTCATGTTAAAAGTGCAGGTTCCTCCTGGAGTCAACATGGGGAAGAGCAATCTGAAGAAGCCGGGTTAGGATTTGAAGTATTGCCCTGTTTCAGTGTGCTGGATCACACACTGAAGAGATCCTCTTCTCTGCCAGTGGGGCAGGGTGAGGGGAAGGGGAAGAGAGAAGGGTTGCCTGATAAAGGAGTGCCAAAGTGCCCCCACCCCAATGCTATTAGTCTGCAAAAGCCACAGCAATCTGAGAAAATAAGAACAGGACTCTCTGCCAAGCCAGGAATTCCTTAAAGAACAACTGGAACTGAAGCATCTGGAAGCACTTTAGGCTCCCAGGTATTAATAGGTACACAAAGAAGATCATAAGCTAAAACGAAGCAAAATATTATGTTCTTCCTGAATTTGAAAAGTATGCTTTTCTTTTTCGAACGCTCACTTCCACACCATGTAATTTGTACAGTCCGTGGGGATGCATATATTGCTGTAGCAGCATAAATCAGCCCTGAGCAGAAACTAAGGAGGTATCAAATGTTTCAATTCAAACTAGAAAACTTTTTACAAGAAACATGCAAATAAACATTTTGGTAAGATTCTAGCTTTCTTGGGGTTTCTGTTTCATCTTTCTGCACATTAGAGAATTCTGACACATGAAAGGGAAAGAAAGAAAGAAAAAAGGCTTTTATTACCTTATTGCCCATTCACAAACCCACTATATAAACGCCAGCTCTTAAAAAGAGAAAGATGTGATTTTAAAGGGTTAATGCAGTTACCGAACTGGCACAGCGGTAAAACGGGTTGACAGGACAGGGCTGCTGCTGAGTTAGCTCCAGGTCTGCGTGAAATGACTCCAACCTCTGCGGATGCTGGCAGGAGGGACACACGGTAAGCGGGAGCTTTGAACCCTTCACACAGGAGTAGCTTTGCTCCCCTCATCGTGGTGCTGGGAAGGACCCCGAAGCCTGCTTGGGCGATGAAGCGCTTTGCCTGGCTCACCAAGGCAGACACAATGTACCCCTTGTTTTCTTCTCTGAATCCATGTGGGAAGCTGGGGCAGCAGAAGATCAGACCCAGCTGATCCAAGGGAATTTTCTTCACTGGTACTCAGAATAAATGCTACGAAAGCAAAACCGTTCTCTCACCTGGTGCTGCCTTCTGGATCTCCAGGGTTACGGATGTGGGAAGACACTGCATAAGCAAGCAGATTTCCTCGTACGTCATCTTACTGACTGGGATACTGTTGATGGTGGTAATCTCATCTCCTACAGCCATCTTGCCCATTGATCCCTGATGCAATGACAGATCCAAGGAAATTATAAGTACACCTCAGAAGCCCTGCCACAGGGGCAAACATTGCGGGGAAGCAATTAATGGCTTATGAGCAACATTCCCTATTTCACATCACTGCAGTTCACAGGTACCACTGCTGTCAGTTTGCCAACACGTAAATAAAGAGCAGACTGTGCTTTTGCCCGGAGAGGAATTAATGATCAATCTAAACCAGGAAGGTCAAAAGAGCTGCTGGATTCTCTGCGAGATCAGTATAAGGGAGGACACAGCCCTCTTCATTTAAATGAATTGGGATGGGTCAGTCCTAGCTTCTTCAGGACTGGAACATTGGCTGTGATTTTTGCATTTCATGTATGAATTATATTCCTGGTCACAACGTCCCATTGGACCAATGGGAATCTCCTAAATAACTAAGTTGGACAGGGACTGAGCTATTAAGGTAAAAGCCTAAGTATGTTTCTAAACACTGCACAGTATGTCAGAGAAAAAAGCAGGAACAGAACCCAAATCCCCAGCTCTCACAGCCCAATTCAAACTACTGTGATATATCCCCCCTTACCCTAGTCACCACTGACTAGAATAAAATGCTACATCCAGCTTTGTGCACCAGAGTATCCTCCTTCCTCCTCCTGCACTTTTGCATCTAGGTCAGCAATTCCACATCCAGCATGAAGCCAAGTATCCATACCAGTTTGTGCGTGTATGAGATGCAGAAGAGCAGTGTGTTACTGGTACTTCCACAGCACCTGGCAAACCTGGCTGGCACCTAATGCCTCCTGGTACCAGATCTGTATAATACAGGAATACATGCATATAAAGTAAGAAACATTTTTGCCACCAGGATTTACTTGTTTTGTCTTTGCCTCCGGTGAAAAGAAAGGAAACAAAAGAATAGTATTCCCTCAAAACTGTGACTGTCAGTGGGTATCAGCCCATCTCTGTAGATCTGCCTCTTGACTTTCTTAGTTTTAAATCAACCAAGGGTGCACTTCTGAATCAGAAACGCTTCATATAAGAGCAGCTTCAGAACAATATGGGATGAGACATTTTGCCCAGCAGAAACAAACATTTCCTTTGCACTTACTCTCAATAGATTACTTGCTTAATAATAGTAATAATTAATAAATAAACATAAACACAATAATGATAATAAAAAATCATCCCTGCAAAGTGAAAGCAAATTGCAAAGCAACCCAAATTAAAAAAAATTACCATTTCTGCTGCTCCACCTGGCCGCAGCCCTGTGACAACAACCTTTAAGGGCATGGCCTGGATTTCCAAATCCAGGCCAAATGACTCGTGCTCATTGCGAACCAGAGTGACTATTTCACCCTGCCCCTGCCCGGCCCCATCAGGTACTTCACACTTCTTGCTGTGAGGGAGCATCCTTGCAACAGGCTTGTTGTAAGAGCTATGCTCCTCCGTCCTCTGTCTCTGCAGGCTTCGGCACTCAGTGCTCATCATGCTTTTCACTCTTGTGACTGCCCTGTGCTCAAGTTTTGGTGACCTCTTAGCTTCGAGTTGTGCTTCCCGGAGCTCCTTCAGACTCAGGCTGCTAAGACGAACTTCAGGCACACTTGAGTAGTCGAACGCTATGATGGGGAAGAAGGGAGACTCAATTTGCTCCAGCGTGCTGCCTGCAGACTCCCCGGAGTTGCTGAAGACAGGGGAAGACGTCTCCATGCCACTGTATCTAGGTGACTCGCTGTCCTGGCTCTCATCATCAATTTCTACAGATGAGGTTGTAATGACAATGCCAGCGTCCTCCTGGCTCTTGGCCCTCTGGCTTCTTTGCAAGTGGGAACTTTCGTCATCATCACTAACGTCACCGTCGTAGAAGACAACCCTCCTCTGTCGATGAAAGGGGCTGCGGGCAGATTTGGGGCTGTCGCTGAGGATGCCAGGTCGGACAGACTCCACATGCTTGTTGTGAAGGCCAGACGATCTCCCACTAGTCGGAGAAGCCAGACCATTTGCTTTTGCCACTCCTGCTTCTCTAGCAGCTAGGGGAAAAAAAAGGTATACTTTAATTGAATTTATAGATGATTTGTAATACCATGCATCTGACTGCAGCAGAGTACATGTGGGTCTGTTTGCAGGGGAAGCTTAACCTCCCCTCACAGAGGAAAAAGCAGGTTTTTCATGTCCTCCCTCTAATTACAGTAAAGAGCAAGAGGGATGGCAGATAGCTCCACAATTTATGGGTAACTCCTGAAATCAGTTCACGGCACATCTGGTTCTATTTTCAGTTTATTTCTAAATTATGACTATGACCCAAAGAAAAAAGGGATGCAAAGTCATGTGTATTTTACTTTAAACAACAGAATTTCTTTCACATTTTCCTTAAATCTATGCTTAGGACTGCCTGCATCAACTTACAGAGAGTGAAAAATGTTTTCCTGAACAAAGACACGAGCACATGACAAGCAGTTTCAAATTAAAGAACCCTTTCCACATCCTCCTTAGAAAGAACTGCATCTTATTTTGTAGAAAGTTTTTTTGTTTTGCTTTGTTTTGTGGGATCTTAAAACGTAAAAGAGCTTTTAAGCATGAAAGAATGAATTTCCAGGGAAAAATAAGCTGTAGACAAAAACACTACATGAGAAGCACAGGAAAGGGAGAACAAATGTAATATCCTTTGAATTTGAAATCACAGGTGCATGTCAGTAAGGAAATGTAAGATTCCTTCAGTCAATTACTATGGGGAGACAGACACATATGCAAAACATCTGATGTCAAATTGAACATTTGATTGTTTTTACACTGCTACACATGGCATTTTGAAATTGTGGATTTGAGATAGCTATGAGCACTTTCATTTAAATGTAATCAATCAGATGATCATCAGTCATTTGAAAATAAAAAAAACCTGCAGTGCTGTCAATCTAGTTTTGGCCAAACCAATCAAATAAAGTCATTTTCACATGATCAGAGCAGCAATTTGGACAAAATACCATGGAAACGGGCATTTATGTGCATTGTTGTAAACCCCTTCCATTTTCCAGAATTTCATATGATCAGCACTGGCTTGCACTACACTGCCAGGCATTTCTTACCAGCACAGAAATCACCGTAGCTCTCCTGCAAAGCAAACCAGTGCTCAGTGACTCTCCCCCCATTAGCCAAATGACCAGGCACATTTCCGTTGCTTACTCAGGTTGCTAGGAAGAAGAGAGCCATCATCCAACAAACTGTTTCTGTTCTTCTGACGGAGCTGCTCCTCGTCGCAGGAGCCGGTTACAGCATCAGAAAACGGGAGCTGGCTCGTGCCATCATGCGAGAAGTACTGGGAAAGCTCTGCCTCGGAGCTGACAGATCCCTGCTGAAAAGAAGTGAGACTGGTGACTGGCCGTCACCGATGCTTAATGCCCCTGTCTGCATGCAAGCACCACAAACTCTGCTCACATTGCCATGTCAATAAAGGAAGTTTAAAGCCACTTTTTAAAATAGAGGATTTGTCAGGATATTGAGAGCCAAACTGTCAAACTTTGATAGCTGAAATGCTGCACATCGATACATTTTTAGCCAGTGTAATAAATAAAAAAGGATTCTAAATCCCACTTCTTTGCAGATGTGGTTCAATGCAGAAAAAAGGGATGAAACCATTCACTTGTGTAACTCCCTTTATACACCTTCTGCACCGAGAGAAGGGAATGGGTTGTACTTCTGGACACAGTTTGTATGGCTGTTTTGGCTCTCCCAGGAAAACCAGGGACTTTTCCGCTGCAGTGGCTATAGAGAGACCAAGCGCTCAGCCTTCTGCCCACAGGCTTGGGTCTCTCCTGCTAACTTTGTGTCCCATGGACCAGGGGCGCCTTTGAGGTGGCAGGAGGTGGGAGCCCACGGCCTTTTCTGCCATGCGCTGCACATTGCTTCCAAAGGCTACAGCCACACAGATGAACAGGAGCTTGCTGCTGTCACGATTTAAATATGTGACGTAAGAAGCAAACCCTTTTATGGAGCCCATGTGACAGGGAAGGAGCACGGTGGTTTGGTTTTGAACTCCTTGATCAAGTAAGAGCTTCAGCAAAAGCAGAGTTTGAAGCAGACCCTGTTTTTATTGCATCTAATCCTTTTACCCGGCTTGCTGGCTCCAGGAAGCGTTTCATAGTCCAGCTGAGGGGAGATGAGGTCTCTCCTTGTTTGGCTTTCACACTAGGAGACGGACTTTTTTGTACAGCTCCTGTTAAACACAGCTTAGTTAGATGCCAAAAAATTAAAGTTGTGGTCCATATATCCAAACAAGCTCCTCATTCACCTTCTGAGCTGGGGGCTGCATTTAATCCCACTTATTCATTATCTGAATTGCTCTCCTAAAGTGAGATTTATTTAACATTTCACAAGCTCTCCCTCAGATCAGGCAAAACACTATCACAGAGACACATTAGGCCAGCCAGGCCCAGGACAGAGCTACGAACAAGAGATGAGCAGGAGACTTTCTCCCTCACCCGCTGGAGCATGCTGCTGACTAGGTGCAGCCTCGAAAGACAAATTAGCAGCCACTGGCAAGGTCTACTTCAACAAAGGTCTTAGCTGACACAGACACAAAGAGGATAATTACAAATCCAACATTTCTGCCTAAAAATCACCTTGCTAGTCACTCTGCCGTTGCCAAGAGTTTGCTTTCGTCTGTAAGATTTTAGGACGTGCTAAGCCTAGAATTCAAAAACATCAGACAAACGCCAGAGCACACATTTTGACATGACCCTAAAGATTAAAATGGAGTTAAAACATATAGTCCAGTATGCAATATCTGGACTTTTTCAAACAGACACAATACTTTCTCTCTTTTTTTTTTTTTTTGCCATCTACATGTGTAAGTGTACAGAGATGGAGTTGACTCCTTTCT